GAGGAACGACGCTTGTTTCTTGGAAATGTACCAGCTTTTTCCTATCGAATAAGAGAGGGCTGGTGTGCATGTAACGTTACAGGTAAACGGTTACGTCAGAAGGAGAAACGGTATCGGCGGTCTTGGTTGTAATCGAGTCGAGAAACTTTTCCAATTCCGCCGAGGTTTTTAACTAGAGAAGGATCGTGTTTTAAAACGACGATCCCGATGATCGTTCCCCGATTACAACGCGTCACCTTGAAACAGCTGAAATTCTTTCGGCAGTTAGAACGCGGGGGATTACGCGAATAGAATAGCGGCAGGGAGACGGACGTTGTTGCTCTCTCGCGGGCAAGAAACGGCGGGAGAAGTTTCGGTTGGACGGAAAGCAGTTATCCGACGAACCAAGGAATATCCGATAAAGTTCCATCAAGATAATGGAGCAAACCGACGAAACTTTCTTTCCCATTCCGAAGGCAATCTCCGCGGATAAGTCCGCCTCTAGATCAAATTTCCAACGTTCTCGATCGACCGGTTAACTTTCGCCCATCCTCAGCCACCCAGAGATGATCGAACTTCCACCTTGGAAAGTGTCACCTTTTTTTACCCCCTCTCACGCTCTCTCTTCTCTCGTTGCAAGGTGGGCGAGAGGAAGGTGGCGAAGGAAACAGAGTGTATCGATTCGATTTTTCGAACGTGGACTCGGCCGGTCGCGCGCCTGGATCCCTTGCTCGATCGACGAAACGTGCTTCCGGTCCCTGCAGGCTGCTCCGTCGAAATTGAATATATGAATGCGAAATTCCAAGCGGCGCTCGCAGGGCCCGTCGAGAGTTCGACTTTCGAGGCACGGAGAAAATAGCGACTCGTTAGGCGACGCGTGGCCGCGGAGGAACACGGACGAATAAGTCGCCGAACGAATTTTAATTAGGGCGCGACGAGTGGCGGGAAATTCGCGTTTGTCCTGCGACCAGGTGAAAGCCAGCTTGATTACATCCTTCTGCGAACATTTTTCACCTAACGTGAGTTTCTCCGTATGATCATTTTACAGATAAATTATCGAAGCAATTTTTCTCCAAGCTGGACGAACTTTCGACGATCGTTTGTGCGCTGCGTCGCTATCGGTGATACGAGCGGTCTTAGTCGTAAATTACCGAAGTCTAGACCAGTGGTCTTCAACCGGTGGTCAGCAAGAATTTGTTAAATATTTGCTGTGTCAGTAATAAGAACCAAACAGAGAAATCAGATGGACGTTGAAACGTACATATGTCAAATTTGCTTACAAAGAAGCAGCAGCAGATGTCGCACTAACCAAGAATTGTAATTTGGTAACATTAGATTTGATAAATAAAATTCTATCTACGTCGGTTTTTACTTCTGGCTGACGCCGGTGCGCGAAATATGTCTCCTGTTTTCGCCGGGCCGCCGGTGTTAAAAGGTTGAAGAACACTGGTCTAGACTATAGCAGAGGCCAAATATATTGGCCGGTCAAGGCCATCCCTCTCGGTTCCACTTTTACCAGTTGGGGCAGTTAACAGTCGTTCCGTGGAATCTTTCCGTTTCTCCCTTAAACTACACTCGCTATATTTTCGCAAAACACAAGACGAAGAGAGTATACTGTCAAAAAAAAAAAAAGAAAAGAAAATGAGAGAAGTATACGCTCTGAAAGTGAATTTTACCATTTTACGGGTTACGAAAACTGACGTTGATCCGCGAACCACTGAAAAGGCGACGGAGGTGGAATGACCGTGACCAGCAAATATATTCGCTCTCTACTATAGCAGCCACGTGCTGACAATACGTCCAAGTTGCACGTTTCTCGCTCCCCTGCGTTATTCGTCGCCGAGGATCATTCCGAGGCTTAAAACTTGGTCGAAACCGATAAATTATCAGTCGTTCGACGATTTTTCGACCAACAGAAACGAGTAAAATCCGTCATCCGCGTTTCTTCCGAACGGTCCGCTGAATACCTGGACACGATCGCTTCGCGTTGCTCGGTGGAGCGTAGGAGAGCCCGTTTCGCTCGAATCAATCACCCGACGGAACATCGATACGCGGGTAATCGCTGGATTAAAGGATAACCAAGGATAATTACTCGCCGCTCGATCCGGATGCAATCAATTCTCGATGCGTTATAGTTCGCGCCACCTCCGCCTCTTCGCCTTCCTGTCCCCGCGATCCCCCACATCCGTCTTCCTCCACGATGATTTTTTCCAACCAGGCCTGACCTGACTCAACGTGAACGCGAGTACCCTCTCCTGCGTTTCCATTTTTCTCTTTCCGAGACGCGAGGACGAAAGTGGAAAACGGTATAAAATACTGCGATATAATTTGAAATCAAGAAGCAGTATACACAGTGTGAATTTTAGAATTTCTGCAATTTCTTCAAACTAACTTCACGAGATTTTAATTGTTAAATGGAATATGTTCGAGACTGCGAATGTATTTGTTCGTCTCGTCGTGAATTTCATCGCCTCTTCTTCCCGCACTCTGTTCGCCGATATATAAAATTGCTATCCGGCGTTCGTTGCACAGTATCAACAATAAAGATCGGTTTAGCGCTAGGGGAAAAATTGCTCGCGGTGTATTTTTCACGGAGCCACGTTTTCCCGGAGGATTTACAGCCTTTAAACCGGCGCATATTTACCACCACCGCTTGGAATTATGCTGACCACAGCTTCGTAGGTGTTAACGCGCGGCAACTCGTCCATCCATCAAGTCCCATGAGTTACGGCCACGGTCTCCAGGAAAA